CCTTTCCAGTTAACCCTCCCCCTGGGATTTCTTGTTTATCATGCAGCAACAGCCTCTGCAGAGAGGTATGGTGGCTTCTGGCTGTAGTGCCTGTCAGTACCTGAGCAGGCTTTGGCAACGTCAGTTGATGGAAGCTGCACAAGAATGACTCATTTCCCTTCTTTGGGTCATCAAATAAAATAACAACACACAAATTTAGCATAAAGACTGGAAGAGCTTGATTCCCCAGATGAGGTGGCAGTTGAAAATATGAAGGGATGGACAGGATGGTAAACTGCATAAGAAAACTGTGCATTATTATTAGCAGTACTTGGTCAGCTCTCATCCCTATCATAGTTCCACAAAACTGATTACATAAAAACAAAAATGCTCCTAAACTTGTAGTTGCTAAAGTATTAAAGAAACGTTTAGTCTCAATACTGAGATAAGTTGGACAGTACTCTTATGTTCATGAGTTTCCAGCCAGACAGGTAAAGGACTCTGAGTCTGAAATTACTCATGTTCTTTGTAAAGCCTACGTGAACATCTAAAATGGTTAATGTGCAATGCTGTAGTCATCACACTGCTGATGTCTGCTGCTGTAATACTAATAATGTAAATAATTTCAGCTCACTGGCCCGCGCACTTCAACCGTCCATTCTGATGATGATGAAGCTTTCAGATGGGACAGCTCATCGCTTTGAAGTAAGTCTGATTGCCATAATAAATAAAAAAGAAACCACTTGAAGTTTTATTTAGAAAGTTGAATTATTTAAAATACTAAAGCTCTTTTAAACAATGCATTACCATTGCTTGGTTTGCTTTGGAATCCTTCATGTTCAGTGTAGCTGCATACAATATATAATGAAACACCAACCAAAATCATTTCATACCTTGTTCCTATGCACATTCTGCTGAAATCTAACCTTTTAGAAGAAAATGACTGAAAAACACTGTTGCACAATATGTGGTTTGATTAAAAATTATGGGGTTGTTATCAGCTGTAACCTTCAGACCTGAAGGTAGCTTTCGAGGGCAAGAAAATTACTGGGGTAGTTTATATAAGGTATGATACACTTCTGAACCTGCATTTTGCAGAGAATGATAACATTCTTTTCTGTGGCAGAGGTAGTTTTATTCTTTTTCTTCAGTACTATTCTTGCTGCTAGAAAGTAAAAAAAAAACCTCTTTGACCTCAGAATTAGTCAGTGGCAGTATTTATGACACTGTACCTAAAGACTTGCCAGAAGATGCCATAAACTCTTCCGTAATTTTAACCTTTGAAAAGAAATGCTATTTGTTCTATAAATAACATGGTGGTGCATACAGGAATTCAGTGCACAGCAGGCATTGTTACATTTGAACTCTGTACAGATTTTGGCTTCAGTTCCCGGGTTAGTAGTAGTCTGGAAGGAGCACCAAAGCCCTGTGGGTTGAAAGAGGTGAACTGATTTTACTGTTAAAATGTTGTGCAAGAAAGCAGCTGTTGAGGAAGGCATAAATCTGTGCTACACTGCAAAATGTTGAGGGTGTCACTTCACAGGAGATCAAATTTACCACTCTGGACAGTCCAGGTCAGAGCATCCCATAAGCTCTGTTTGACATCTTCCATGGAACTTAAATGATGCCATGGATGTCAGGTTAACTCTTTACAACAGGGTAAGTTTCATTTTTGGGAATAAAAGCTAGTATATATTCTTTACTGTTTATATCTGGGGCTTTATTTCCTGGCATATAATGTCAGGTCTTCATCTTGGTGCTATTGTTTCTGGTTGTTTTGGTTTGATTTTAGTTGTTTTTCTTTTCTTGTAAGTCTGTGGAAGACCCTTTGCTATTTGGTAGTGGAGGTGTGTTTGTCCAGAACACATAGCAGTGCAGATATCTGATAGCAAGCAATGTGCTTCTCTTAGAATCGACTCTTTGCTGCTGCTGCTTAGTTCTGAATGCCAAGGATTTGGCTGTAAACACGATTTCTGTATCTGATGAGTGGTCTTCCGACAGTTAGTGGGGATAAACCTGTGTTTTGGTTCAAGGTGCCATGTGCAAGCAAATATAGTCCTCAGCTCTCTGGTTTCCTTTCATTTGGACATGTTCAGAATGTCCTGCTAACTATCGAGGCTTATGTAAGATAGTAAGTCCAGAATTCTTTTGTGAACAGTTTTAAAATATGTCTGGCACAGGGAGAAGTTACACTCTGGTCTCTCTTTGGTTTTTTAATCACAGTGTGACTTCTAACTGAAGATTTTTTTCAAAAGCAGCGGGAATTGCAGCATTTTGAGTCTTGTTGTATGTATGTCAAAAGTGAAAAGGACATGGTGCCTTTTTATGCATTTTGGATGTATGTGGAAAATGCAAATCAGGTGTTGGATTCCTCTCACATAATTGATATCTGTGCTACACTAGGCAGAAGGATGACAAGGGTCTCTGTCAAAAGAACTGCTGTCTTCGGTGTAGCCAAAGCAGTGGAGTAAATTAGGCAGAGCTCTGCAGGGCAGCATGGGACCAGCTAGACTGGGATGGGCACTCTTGTGAGCACGTGTGTTTGTGCACTGCCCTGTTGTTAGTCTGTGCCACGCCATCTGTGCCTGTACTCAGGTGTGGATCTCTGTCTTAACACATAACAGATTTCCATCCACTTGGTTTCTCAGGCTTGAAATGGTAGAGTCCATAAGTCTCCTGCACAGCTGAAAATGCTTTGTATGTTCAAGCAAAGTCTAGTGCCTTCCACATATAGACACTGCCCAGTGCCCTTGGCTCTTGAGGTTGCTGCCAAGTCTCTTGCCCCAAGTCTCAGTTCCTTTCTCTTGCAAGTTTGGACAAGCAATATCTGGAATTTGTGTTTGAGAATTTTGTAGGCTTCACAACATTCCAGATGTCTTTGTTTTTCCTTCCAATCCAGGACTCTTACTTCACCACAGCAGTCCTCAGTTTACATCCTGTAGTATTTCCTTTCTTCCATCAAGCAGTACAGAAAATGTACTATGTAGCTGTTATTTCTGGTTTTTTCCACTCTCCTTTTCCACATGGATTTAGTTGAATTAACTGAATGTTATTAACCTCAAATCCTTTGTCTTAAATCTGAAAAAAATCGTATTTTAAGAGAGATTGCACTGACACTGCAATGTTCCCTATCCATAGGCATGCCCTAGTGAAAGTTCCTAAGATGTCTTCTGTTTTCTAACCTGAATATTCTGTTTCAGGTGCCAGTTGCAAAGTTTCAAGAATTGAGATACAATGTTGCCCTTATACTGAAGGAAATGAATGACTTGGAGAAGAGGAGCATACTGAAGATCCAAGACTGAACACTTTTAAATTGGGAATTTATGGAAGAGACCTGGAACCCTCAGCATGTTTTGTGAATGGTAGAGCAGGGGACCATCACCACTTTGCCTGTATGAACTTCAATGTGACATTTATGATGTCTGCTGTAAATATTTTTTTCGATTCAAGTGTTTAAAAGCACAAGCTCTTTTTGTAAGACTTGGGAAAACCAAAAAATGTATCTCTGAAAAAGTATAATGCTGTTTGCGAGCATTTTGCATGATTCATCAAAACATTTTTTTAAATAACTGTCTTAATAGATGTAAGAGTCATTTATTTCTGATTATGATTCATCACTTTAATTATTTTTGAAAGTCTGCTACCGGAAGCCCCAGCAATGTGTATGTATCATAAGAAAGCTCTGCAATACTTCAAATAAAAAATAAAATAACAAACCCACTCCTGCCTTCTAGTATGACAAATGCAGTCTTGAGTTTTGCATAAATAAAATTGTTGTCTGGCTTCTCACTAAGTGACTAAGGTATAGCTACAGACATTTAAAGGCTAATTTGAAAGAAAATTGGAAACCTGTGGATCAAGAACAAAGTATCAGCTGAGCTTCCAGGACTAATTCCATGGAATTACACAAGTGGGAAGCGGTAGTCTTAAGTCTTTATCTGGTTGATCATAATGGGCTAAATAGCAGTCATGTCATAGGTTTCTAAGTGGAAATGCCTGTCTCTTGTTTCATGTATTGCCTGTATGTTTGATTGAATGAAATCAGCTGACATGGCTGGACAGAAACCTCTGGGCCTGAAGTGATGGCAAACAGTGGGAGGCAGTGATCTTGTAGCCCACGACACCAGAGACTCGTTACCTGTGCAGGTCAGACCCCAGGATGGAGGGGCTGCCTACAGCCTCTGGGGAGAAAGTCACAGGTGTGAGGATATCCAAGCCCCCAGGTCGAGAAAGGAGTTAAGCACAGGCTGAAGTTCCCTGAGCTGCTCCAGCAGTTGGACTGGATGGTCATTGTAGGCCCCTCCCTTTCAACAGAAATAGTCTATTCTAAGTTATTCCTTTGCCCCAAGAGTTAACCTCAGAAGGACCCCCTTAACTCGAAGCATATGTTTTAAGTCTCATTTAAATGCTGTGGGACCACAAGTATGTCCCTAAGAGTTTTGCCAAGAAGGGATGCATTCCTCAGTCCTTGCCTGAGTGAGTTTTCCCCAGCAGCAAAGATATGGAGGCTGTGAGCAATGGCTCAAAGACAGCATCCTAGAACTGGAGGCTTTATCTGGCTGTCAGGTGTACTTTAGAAAGCACATGCTACTGCCACTGTTAAGCCTTCACTTATTCTAGCTAATTGCAGGGGTTTTGTCTCAGTAGTACCACCCATACTCTTTCATGTTTTGTGACTATAGAACTTGCCTTTATCTTCCTCACCCCCTGCAGAAAACTACTGAAATTAAAATTGTGGATTTGGGAGGCCTTTTACACTCCCACAGATGTTTGTGTAGGAAAGGATGACTTGGCTTTTGGATTTTAAAAATCACAACAAGCATAATAAGGCTTATTTGTCACACTTTTTAAGAGGAGACTTCTTTAACAGCAGTCCACACCAATCTAAAGATAGCTGAATAGCTCTGGTCCAGACAGCTTTTAAAGCCCAAGCAAGAACGTGTCCTGTAGTTTCAAATAAACCATTAGTCACGATTTCAAACTGTTCAAAAGCTGCATGTTCCATTTGCTTTGTAGGGGATTCATCAATAACTTCCAGCTTTAGTCCATGATGCATCTTAGCTATTGTATTCAGGGAACACCAAACACCAAAGCACATAAAGAATTAGCTCCTGTACCTTCAAGTGGACTGTGGATTGCGTTAATTACTCTGTGGAGCTTGTTCGTCTTCTTTCTGGAATTACATTATCACGAGCTGTGAAACAAAACATAGATCATGATGTTCCTTGCTACAACCTTTCCCTTCTGGATGTTTAGATTTGTAAGGTTTCAAACTGCAAAGATAGCTCGAACTGAGCCTAAGTGAAGTCTTCAGACAAACAGAATGCTGCATAAAATGACCTGTTGCTCAAGGCATTTGCAAAGTAGTTTTTTACTGGTCAGAGTAGAAAAATCCATGAATACCTTTACCTTCTAGACAGAATATATTAATTCAGTTGTTCTCCTGTAGCAGCAATTGCCCATGTTCTCCAGAAATGGAGAGGCTTCCTGACTGTGTGAACATGAGGAACCCCGGACTGCTTGGTCTCAAATTTGTCTTGCCACACATTAAGCAGGAGCTTGTTGTAATTGGAGGTTTACCGTGTATGCTGAGGGTACTTGAACACTTGGGATGTTCATTCCTCTGTACTTAAGAGTTAATTTGGGCTTTCCTTCTGACAGATTAGCTTTCCAGTAAAACAGAAGTTGTCACCCTAATGGCTAGTGGGAGTGCATAGCGGATAATTCCTCAGTTTTGATAAAATGTGAGTCTTCAAAGAACAGTTAGGTATCTCAGAACTTCATGGCAAACTACATGTTAAATATTTGTTCAACACTGAAATATCTTACTCCTTCATGATCAAAATACTCTGGAATTTGAATTCCACTGAGTTTATGACAGTAGCCCTTTCATTCTAGTACAGAACAGAAGTAACCTTCTAAGAATCTAGATATGGCTGAACAGAAACTATTTTACCCAGCCCGCTCTAGGTTTGGTTACGCTTCAAGGACACGCTGTGATTCCCCCTTCCAGTATCATGCAGTGAAAGGTACAACCTCAGTGGGATGCTCGCTTTGTCAGTCCTGAGGTCTTGTCAAGCTGATCACTAGTCAGTCATCAATTAGGGAGGCAGGGGTTTGTGTGGGAAGGGCACTGGGGTTTTTTCTTATTACATAGTTCATGGAGCAGTAGGTAACAAGAACCTTTCTCAGGCTCTGTTGGTGTTTTTCCCTGAAAAACAACCCTCCATGATCACGTTGCTCTCTCTATTGGTGCTTGCATTTATTTAAACTGGATAATGTGTTTGCATCTGAATTCTAGTTATTTTCTAACCATGGCATATGAACATAAACTTCTCCATTACACTTCTTCTTTAATTTCCTTTATATTTTATGGAACATTATGACTTTTTTTTTAAGATTAATGTGTCAAAATAGATTTAAAATAGAACTTGGACTTGATTGCTTTTCAATGTACATTATGTGTGTATGATAGCAAAGACACCCAGTACATAAAGGAGTAGTCACTGCAGGCAGAATGCAAAAGGAGAGGTAAAGATAGTTGCCAAAAGTCACCCAGAGATTCAGTGGCAAAATAACCCAGAAGAACTGATATCTCTTCCCTTCCTGTTCCCTATCTGTAAGTTAGTGCAGCTTCCTGACATACTGGTCAGGCCTCACACTTGGTGCTTTTTTTAATTATCTCAGCTGCATGGGCCATCAGTCCAAATCTGTTCTTTCTTATGGACTACTACAGTGTGGGCAGAGCACTTGAGAATAAAAAGCCATCTGTGGCTGTATTTGTGATGTGACTTTTCACATCCCTACTTCCACTAGAGAAGGAGCTTTGTCAGCGTGACTGGTGGGGTGGAATTTCACACTTGGGTTCGTTGTGTTTGAGAGAGGAAAGATGCAGGTTTATTGATGGCTTTTGTGGTCTCAAAGCCTGATGCAGTTTATAGATCCAGAAGAAGGCTGAAGAATGTAGTCATGCTCTCACGCTGCCTGTTATGCCAGCCATTAACTGCTGGAAGGAGATCAGTATTGTGCTCATTGTCATTAAAAGGAAGAAATTAAACCTCCCTTTGTAGAAAAATCATACAAGGGAGATGTGCTTTTGCAGAGTGAGTCACCTCCTCGCTTTAACTTCTTCTGTTTAAGTGAAGGATAAATCTGTTCTTGATCTCATGAACAATGCAGGTAGGCAGGAGGGTGCTTTTTTCCTTTTTCTTTTTCCTTTTTTTTTTTTTTGCTTTCTAATCAAGTATACCTCATGACCTACTGCTGCTCCAAATCCATGAATATATGTATGAATGTATGAAAACTCTGTGCTTTCAGGATGTGTTATATAAAAACACCCCAGCATATCTAGATTATGTATGTTCAATTCACACAGCTGTTTTTGCTAAAAAAAAGTCTTTGCAGAGCCAGGCCTGATGTCAGAATCAAATATTTTGTAGTTGTTTGACTTCTAGTGAACAGTAAATTAGTATCTTGGCTTTAAAGTATTTTGCTGTTAGTGACTGTACAGGTCAGTCTGTACCTGTCACACCCCACCAAGTACTAACATTTACTAAACACCACACACATACCAGGAACTAGCAGAGGCAGAGCCAGCTGGTTTCTCCTCTAAGAAGTCACAGAGTTGTTGCCCGTAGGCCATCTGTGACAATGTCTTAACTGTTTTCCAGCCTGGGATAAGGATCTGTGTTCTGAACCCTTCTAAGCACACAGCTTCCACCACAGGAGTAGTTCATAAGTGCAGCTTCCCTTTTCCCTTGAAACGTTCCAGCCACCTCCCTGCTGGTGGAAGAGAATTCCCAGAAGTGCATTTCACAGTGCTTTTTTGAGACTCATTTCAGTCCAGAGCATCAGCCAGCCCTGCAGATGCTTTCATACATTGCAAATAGGAACTGTGGAAGTTCCTTTCAGAGTGCAAATGCTGATTACATTTTCTATGATAATCTATTCCCCTTCCCTATCTAGAATTAGTGTGCTGCTAGAAACCCTCTCTTTATACCACGATTTATCTCTTTAAGTGTCTGCTATGTAACTATGTAAATACTGGTGGCGTATCCCTGATAGAGAGATTGTCACTGCATTGCTACTGGTAACCAGTGGTTATGTCACTTTCCCTCGCTTGAATAGGCTTTGACTCATAGTGGTTTTCAGGACAATGGTTATAAAATAACACACCGAGGGGTTGCCGAGACTATAGTTTTGCAATAGAGAAAACTGCCGACCTCAAGGCTGCAAGAAAGCATTTTTCCTTTTTTTTTTTTTTCCTTAAGGGTTTTATTCTCTTATAGCATGAGATTTTCTTGCATGGAAGTTTGGAAAACAAGAAGTCTTATGTTAGCAAGCTGGAGTCTGGTGGGAAAACCCCACACTCCCAAGCTAATTCTTTCTAGCTGTTCTGAAGCATTGCTTAACTGAAATTTTAAGTGCTTCAGCTGTCCTACCTTTCTTTGATTTACTTGCTGTCAGGCTGTGCTATACTTTAGATTCAAATATGATTTAAGTGATGGCAGAAAGAAGTATGGAAACCAGTGGTTCTTAAATTCTTTTTCCAATCAAAGGATTTGCCTAAGAACAACAGGTAGATATTGAACTCATTAATTCAAAGTGTATATTATTAAAAGTTAAGATCCAGAATTTAAGTGGCTAAAAGTTGTTTTTTATCTTGAAGTTCATCTGAACTTTGTCAAGTATCCTCTCTAAACAAGGTCTTACAAAACTCATGTTACCTCTCCTTTCTTCCATCTTTTCTCCTGTCCATTCAAGCTCCATAGGCAGGGCTTGTCCCTTAATACCTGCTTAGCTCACACAGTCTAAGCTGGGGAGTCCAGACACTTCTGTAAGTAGGAAAATAGAAATTTATTCCTTCATCCCGTCCCTTGAGTTTCATGAGGAGGCAAGTAGTATCAGTGACAGGACATCCTCAGAAATTTCAAATTCTGCAGTGGATTTCAAGACAGCATGAAAAGTGCCCCACATTTTTAGAACATTTGAAAGGGTATGTATATATAACGTAACATGGACATTTCTGGTAACTATAGATATGCATGAAACTGCAAAAAAAAAAAAAAAAGCATTTGACAACTTCTTTTAGAACAACTGCTTCTTTTCGATAGTAGCACAGGTGATTTTCTCCCTAGGCTACATTTAGCACAGACAGTTACACAACTAGTGCGATCCTCTCATCTAACAAGAATTGGTGGGAATGTGCAGATTCAAACGGTCAACACGGCTGGTCTTGAATAAAACAAAGATACATCACGTGCTTTTTTCTAGAATCTGGCATGGACAGGTAGAGCTGTGCAACATGCCATGCCGTAAATAAATAAACCCAATAAAACTAAATAAACACAGCATTTTCCTTCTAATGTTTTCCTTAGTTGCCCTAAAAGCACGATTACCTGACATCAAAATAGCTTCACCACTACGTAGATTCCCTGAAAGGGACCGATTAACCGTGCAAGTACAAGGCTCTACAACTCCAGTTCTAGCAGGGAACGGCATCTCAAAACCTCTTTGAACCGCTGTTTTCTCCGTGTCACCGGCGGCACCAAAACGCCGAGCCCGGGAGCGAGCCCCGCGTCCCACCAGCGGGTCAGACCGAACTCCGAGCACGGGGCGCTCCCTTGGCCGCGCGGCTCCAACCCACCCGCCGAGGGGCGGACGCGGCCGGGCCGGGGGGTCTGAGGGGCCGGGGGGTCTGAGGGGCCGGGGGGTCTGAGGGGCCGGGTGACCCCTCACGGGGCGGGGGGAGCGGGGTGGGCCGGGCCGGGCCGGGGCCGGCGCGTTACAAAACCGCCTGGTTTTGTAACAACCTGCGGGCGCTGCCCAATGAGCGGCGGCGCCACCGTCACGTGCCCGCCTTTATATAAGCGTTGGCGGCGGCGCGGGGCGCTCCCGGCGCGGGGCGGCAGCAGCACCGCCATGGGCCGGCGGGGCCGCGCCGCGCCCCCTGCGCGCCCCGGCGCCTCGCGCCGCCCGCCCCGCTAGAGCCGACGGCATGGGCTCGCACCTGCCGCCGCCGCGCCCCGAGCCCCAGCTGGTGCTGCAGCTGGCGGCGGGGGCTCTACAGGCGCAGAACTTGGAGGCGCCGGGCGGCGGCCTGGGGCCCGAGTGGCAGGTGCTGCTCGGGCGGGCGGACGCGCTGGCCTTCGGCGGGCGGCTGCACGAGGCGCTGCCGCTTTACCAGCTGGCGTCCCGCCACCAGCAGCTGCGCGCCGAGCAGCTGGAGAAGCTGGTGGAGTGCCTGGCGCAGAGCGTCCGGATCAAAGAGGGGCTGCCCGCCGCCGGACACCCCGCGGCACCCCGCGAGTGGGACGTTTTCAGGTGCCGCAAGTGCCAGGGCTTCCTCTTCGAGCCCGTTTCCTTGCCTTGCGGACACACGTTCTGCAAAAAGTGCCTGGAGAGGGACCGGGCGCCCCAGTCCCGCTGCGTCCTGTGCAAGGAGGCGGGCGGCGCGGCGGCCGGGCAGCTCCTGCGGGTCAATGTCATCCTCAGCAACCTGCTGGCCAAGTGGTTCCCCTGCCAAGTGAAGGCTTCGCAGCTCCGGCACGAAGGGAACCTCCTCTACAAGGAGAAGAAGCTCCAAGCCGCCCTGCAGAAGTACAACGAAGCGGTCAGCCTAGGTAAGGGCTCTCCCCCTCCCCGGCGCTGCCCCGCGGGGGACGCGCTCCCGCAGCCCCCGGGGAAGGCAACTTTGCACCGGCCGGGGCTCGCCCGCGGCCACTCCGGTGCCTCTCGCCCCGCAGAGCCCCGGGCTCTGCCGGGGGCAGCCCCCGCGTCCGGGGGGGTGTGCCGGGGCCGCGCTCCCGCCGCCGCCGGCCCCCCGCGCCGGGCCCTGGGGGAGTGTCGGGGGTGCCCCGGAGGGGGAGCCCCGAGGAGGGGTCGTGGCTCTTCGGCCCGCGGTGAAACTGGGTCAGGAGAGCAGCGGTTGCGTAAGCCGGAGCCTGCGGTCCGGCCGGGCTCCCCCCGGCCGGCGCCGTTGTGTAACCGGCGGGGCCGGGAGGGAGCGGAGCGCCGCGCCCCGGGCATCCCGCCGCGCCCCGGGAGGAGCTCCACAGGGGCCGGGGGCCGGTCCCCGCGGACCACCGCCAGGTGCGAAGGAGCCGCTCGTAGCCGGGCGCAAAGGGAATGGCGGGGGATGCGTGTCCGGGATCCCGCAACCCCGGCTGACCCGGCTCGACTCTCCCGCCCCATCGCCGGGAAGCGCCTGCGGGGCTGTGCAGGGAGAACTTTTTGACGCGGTCCTTTTAATGCAGTTTGAGGAAACGCAACTCACACACTGCACGCAGTAAGGGGGAATTAGAGGCAAGGTATTACGAGTTTCACTTAAATGAGAAAGTGTTCTCAGAAAAGTGCCCAGCCTTCCCTCAGCTTCCCTCAGCACACGTTTTGTCTCGATGCTACAACGCGCCGTGTGTGTAACTCGGTGATCAGTGTAGTGCTATCTGATTCTTCACACTGTCACTTCTTTTCCTGTGTTGAGCGATGGCACGAAGAGATCGCTATGTATCACTTAAAAACTTTGATGCCACGGATTTTGAAACTCCTCCCTACAGTATGCCAGCATTCCTCCTGCCGCCTTAAATGTCTCCTGTATGTTTCTACCAACCATCTGATCCTCAGTCAGCACTGGTAATTTATTGTGTGAGCGTCTCAGCATTTATTTATGCAATGTTCCCTGCAGTTATATAATACATAGCTGACATTTTGTCTGGAGTTGCCCAAAGAGGTTTCCAGATTTCATTTAGTACATAGTTATTTAAAAACTGGATATTTTGTGGGTTTGTGCAACTCAGAAGCACCAACATGTGTTTAACAAAAAAAAAAAAATTAAGGAGTAAAGCTTATGTAACTAATTTTTATTTTACTTAACCACTTTTTCTATTTCTTACAGCTCCAAATGACCACTTACTATATAGCAACCGGTCCCAGATTAACTCCACTTTGAAAGCTTGTGAAGATGCATTGCACGATGCAGAAACAGCGTGCAGGCTCCAGCCATACTGGTTGAAAGTAAGTTCTGACTCCAGTTTTACTTTGGTTTAAAATCTAGGATACTACCCTGGTAGGAAATGGTTAGAATGGTCAGACAGCTGAATTTGAGGGAAGCTTTAAATCCTGTAACTTCTTGGACCCTTGTTGTTTACAGACATTTAACCACGGTATTCTCGAGCTTCCTGAGGTAGAGAGTGATAATCATGGAGCATGAGCTAAGGCTATTGTCTTTGACCTGGATGAATATCAAGTTCATGAACTCTCTCTAAAAATGAATGCTGTGCTTGTATCATTCTATAAGGACAAAATTACTATTTTAGGAGATTAATGCAGGGGAAGTAGATGTTTCCAAGATCATTTGGGCTCAGGTGCTGTGAAAGTCATATTTGCTTGAGTTGGAGAATATCCTGTAGGAGTTTTTAGGACCATTGCGGTTAGAAACGCAGAGTGGTGGTGTCTAGGTGTAAGAGATGCTTATAGTGACTTTTCCTACTTAACTTTTTCTTCTTCAGAAAGATCTCTTGTAATTTCATCATGATTTTATTGCCTATTTTCATGACAAAAGAAAAAAATACTGCAACTATGGATGTGTTTCCTTGCAGGGTCACCTGAGGAAAGGACAGGCATTAGCTAATCTGGGGAAAACAGAAGAAGCTTTAAGAGAGTTTCTATTCTGCCTTGCTCTAGATACTGGGAACAAGACAGCCAAGTCTGAGGCACAAAAGGTGAGTTCCCTAAATCATCTGGAACTATGTTATTGTTTTCAGTGGCCTTTCATTAAGGAGGATGGGATTATTTCTTTTCCCCTCTCTCATTACTGCAAAGAGCTGCACAAATCCAGACATTTGAGTTGTGTATTGCTAACTCGAAGATAGGGAGGTAGCAAGAAAACATACTCAGCAGGTATGAGGTGGAAACAGTCAGGACATTAGCATCAGCAAATCTGAACTAAAACTGAGTTGTTAATAATTGCCACCCGCAGACTACTGTGATTCTCTATAGTCAAATTTCTAATCTGATTCCTAGCCTGGCAATCTATTACCAATGATGGAGTGCAGAAGAGGGGGAGTTGCTATTGAATGTTGTATCAGGCCACTGACTGGCAGAATGCAACACGCAGCACTCATCAAACTCCACTTGGGAGCAGCAGCTTTCTTCCCACTGCCAGTCGCGCTGTGCCGAGTATCGGTGTGTGAAGGAGGCGTGAAAGAGGAAGCAGCCAACAGAGGAAGAGCTGTTTTTAAAATAGTTTTCTAAGGTTGCTAATAATTAATGCTAAGTAAGCAATGAAATGGATCTGCAGTGTGACTTTTTTCAGCAGCAGCCTAAGATGTGTGTGAATTCTTAAATGGCTTTTGTGAATACTGCTCTGTGTTGCACACCCCTCAAAACTCTGATTTCCTGTGAATCAGTATTTTGACATTTGACCGTTTTTTTTGTTGTTGTCATAGCTAAAAGGCTCAGTGTGGCAGTGATAGCTTATGGCAATAAAACCATAATAGTTCTATCTTCCTTCTATTGAATTTTCTTTTATGGCAGTGTGTTCAGCCCATTCTCCATCACTGGTGGGGACAGGAGGTTTAGGGTTTCTGTGTACTGTAACACATAAGGCTTTCTAAAAGTAGAATTCTTACAGTAAAGCACTGTTCATGAAGGTAACAGTATAACCTGTATGGCTGTAGCACAATCAAATTTCTATCTCATTTTAAATACGGTTGAGATTTCAGTCTCCTGGGAGTTTTTTGTCACTGATGTTTGAGGGTTTTGTTTGCTGTTTTCCCCAGTGGGTTCCATGCAGTCTTTCATTGTCATTGTGTCATGCTTTGTGCTCATAGTCATGCTGGGAGACTCTGTGCACTAGAGCAAAAAGACAAGAAACAAACAGATATGTTTCTAAATTCTGACTCCGAATAGCCCTAACCAAGACACTTGATTTCTGAGCAGTGGGGTTCTGAGAAAAACTAGGCTTCTTATGACCGAAAGAATTACTCGTGCACTCATCAGACACAGAGTTCATCCATGATGCAATGTTTTACTGGGTCATTTCCAAGGCTGTTTGCATAACAATGACATACTACGTTTTACCAAATTCTTTGGGTGCAGCTGTGATGTTCTGCTTGTATTAACTGTCTGCACATGTTACTTTGAACACAGTGTGATCCTGTGGAATCCTTTTTGGCTTTAAATAGAAATCTTGGCTGTCATGTGGCTTCCTTAGACATCAGCAGGATCACCTCGGTAGTATGTTGAAATTAGTTTTTGAAGTGTGAATCTTCTATTCAGCTCTGTTTCTTTCCTTAAATAATCATCTGATAAGCTATGCCATACAAGGGGCTTCAAGCTGCTACTTGAAACAGATCCACTTATTTTCTTATAGCAAATAAAGAAATAGCATTTTTCTACTGCCTACCTTTTTTTGTATTCCCACATAAGTGAATTAAAAATAGCTACAGTTTACAATATCAGAGACATTTACTCAACTGATCTTGGATTAAGCCTGTGAGAGATGAGTGCTTTCTGTACTAGTAAACTCCAGTGAAAGCTTCTGATGTGCAGCAAAAAAACGTACTTAAGAAAGATGGTAGTAATTTCTGGTGAACTTTGAACTGCAGGACAAAAACGACAAAGGCATGTTGTGTGTCACATCAGAGAATGATTAATAACTTTATGGGCTTATTTAACGCTGAAAATGTTTCTTGCTGTCTGTTTGGCCTCTATTGCCATAGCTCTTGATCTTTTTGTTCCTACCCTAGTCTAAAGGGCTCTTTAAATGGTTTTAACAAAATCAAGGATGCTTCTTTCAGCTATTCCCTTACTTGCTTTTTCATTTAGAGGTTATAAGGAAGGAACTAAGCAGTGAAGTGTTCTGTTTTATACCACAGCTTCTACTTAGTTTGTTTTCACTCATCCCGGGAAATGCTCAGGAACACTTACCCGATATCCTGCAGCTGTTGTCACATCACTCTAGATTAAAGGGGAATCTCCTAAATTCAGTGGGATCTGGAGGCACCAGCCATAACCTACAAAGGTTGCTCAAGGTAAAGATCAAGTCTGATGTGTGGTTCTTAATTTGTTGTGTGTTTTGTGTTCACATTGGGAAGCCTTCTCTCCTTTTTGCCTCTGGGAGATAGGAGGATACATTTTCTCAAATTTTTACTGAGTTTCAGAACATACAAAACAGTGTTGACTTACTGAAGTCTCCTTAATTGACTTTAATACAAGTCCTCTGTTGTTCTGATAAATTTTGTTTCAGAATTGATTGGGTTCAATTCCTCTAACTGTCATTAGGTCTTCCAAGTAGTTGGTAGTGGGAAAGGGCCTCTGAAGATTGGATTGAGATACCCTCAAAAGCTGTGAAATGTTAAAATCTAGACTTTCAGCTTGAACCTGTAACTGGTGATGTCAGTGGCAAAACCAATCTGCATTCAGAGTCTGTACACTACTTAGAGGTTATTGTAGAGGTATGTCAGATACATCAGCAACTTTATAAGTTTGCTTTCATAGCCACAGTTTTGTAAATGGCTGTGGAGGTTTACATTCATGGGTGTGTGAGGACCACTTCTGCTTCACTGAACTTTGGGATGGGGTTTGCATATACTGTATATGTAGGAGGAAACTTCAGTGGTCCTTACAAACAAAATGGTAGGTCTTGAGCAGCCTTGTTGAGACCAATAAGAAACAATCAGTGACCTTGCCTTCTGGAAAGGCTGTCAGGATATTCTGACAAGAAATCCTTCTGTATGACCCTTTCACAAAGTCATTTGAGGAGCAGTTCACCCATCTTTCTGCATGTTACACATCACCACAGCTCCTGCTCACAATCCACACTATCTGTTTTGGGGTTCATCTGGGGAGCTGATGTTACAAGCTGACAGGTGATGTCCTGTAGCCGTAAGGGGATAAACACTGAGCGGTTTATCCTTTGCGAAAGAAATCTGTCTCTCAGAAGGAAGCTCTGTGCACTTTCTCTTATAAATTTTTTGTATTTATACTGCTTCCTTGAAATAAACTCGCGTTGTTTTGGTTGTTCTGATAGTTGATGCCATCATTATGATATAAACAATATGCAGTTTTTCCGTAGGTTAAGTGATAACAACACATTTAACCTGAGATCTAGCTGCATTTCTGCCTGAATCCAGTTTCATGACCTTCCAGCTATAAAGCCACATAAAAGGGCTGAAAATATTCAGTGGTGGGGGTGGCAGAGAGGGGAAATAATCTGAGTTTGTTGGTTGGTTGTTTTTTTGTTTTGTATTAGAATTAGCAATTCTCAGACTCTTGCTTCTTGACCTACTAGCTTTTTCCTGGTGATCCATAATATTAAAGATTTGTGACAGGTTTGGGGTCTTTCCTTACCAGGTTGTTGGATGATTGGTCAAATGTCAGTTCTCTCTTCACACAGGTAAATGTGGAACAGAAAAAGGGTTTTTCCATTCAAGAGGAACCAAATGTAACTACTTCTGGTAGTTTGAGGAAATCGATACAAACCACAGAGAGCAAAAAGGACTGCTCGGAGGAGGAGAACAAATTCACCTCCATGCCAGAGTCTGCTTTACTCATTTCTGAGAAATGCAGCCTCCTGAAAAGGAAGTGCTGCTCGGAGGAGTTGCGAAACGCTGAGGTACCCTGCAAACTGATGAAGAAAGGTATGTTTAATTACACACAGGATGGGTTCCATGACATGGAATCCTTGGAAACTTTGCTTTTATAAAACTCAAAGGAAGAGAGTCCAAATTACACTTTGGTTTTTAAACTTTGTTTTGCCTAATGAAGGCATGATGTGGAATCTTTCCTGTATGTGGGGAGAAAAAAGTCAAAAAAGGGTCGAAGAAGTTTGGGCCAAGTGCTTGTTTCTCAGCAGAGCTTTAATCTTTAAGGAACATCAATGTTGCATGTGGTCTTAATGCTTTCTGTATCAATTTTAAAAGTTTAAAAGCAAAAATTCTATTTGTTCATTATAACTGGCCTTGTTTTCATGCTGTGGGATGTATTTACAATGGTATGACAGAAGAATTTGTCTCACTTTAGACTTTCAGCACTAACAGTGTTTTGACATTGTTAAAGCAAGGCCAAGTTACTCTGTAACTGGGTATAATGTGACCAAAATTAAGAGGAAGTATGAGGATTTGCTTTGCATAGAAATTATTGTAATGATGCTTAATGGTTCAGTAAATTGCAAGTATATACAACACCCATTTAAATATCAGATGTTGATGGAGATACATGGAATAGCATTGTGTTTGCATAGTTCTGTTCAATTATTTTTTTGTCTTATTGATAGATACAGTTGATACTAAGGAAAATAGTACTGGACAACATATTCCATTTGAAGTTGTGGATCCATCAGATTTGGACTGCTCCCTGTGTATGAGGTATGCGTTGTTTTCTCATGGATGTCTTTAGCTTTCAAGCTGTATCTTTTTCCCTTTTATGATCTACAGATTTTCTAGCTTACTTGGTACTTATTTTTGCCCTGACTTGAAATAAGTTTTCACTATAATCCAATGATGCATTTCTAGACCTTTGGTTCTGAGCACTGTTCATGAACAGGGACTCTTTGATCTGCTCTAGGCTACTGATTGTTTTGGGAAGGGCACATAAGGTCACATGAGGATTAAGTGTGTTAGTGAAGGTGTCTGGAAGATTTCCTCTCACCACTGACACACACCTACCCACTGACACATATAGTGCACAAAACCATGCTTTGTCCTCTGGAATTTGTAGAGCTGTTTGTAATGTTACGAAAAGCACAAAATAGCTGAAGAGACCACATCCAATGAATATTCTGAGTTTGCATGTGAAGTACTGTGTTGCTGCTGTTGCAATAGGAGGATCTTGCAAGTAAACAAGAGCATGCTTCTCCTCTATTGCTTAAGAGACATGTTCCTCACTTCATTGAGGGTGTCACTCCATTTGCTTAAAGATCTCTTCCAGTTAAACAGCAGGTATTCTTGGGGACAGCAATGACTTGATAAAATAAGTAGGAGTTGTCAACTGCATCTATTTTACTACTTGTTTTGTAAAAAACATTTTAACTTTGGCAAAGACACATGTGGGGTTTTGTTACTGACTTAGAAATATTGGGAAGATGTTTCACTCACTGCAGTGAGTGTTGCTTAGGTTTGTTTTTTTTTTTAAGTACCCAGATCTATGAATAACACACGGTGGGGTTTGCACTACATTTTAAATTCTTAAATAGCAGCCTCTTTATGGATTTACTTCTGAAGGCCTGTGTTTTGAGAAATCTGGATTTGCTTTGTTTTTTTGTTTATATGTGGAGAAGGGGGCTTCAATTTATTCCAGACAAACTGAAACCTTTGAGGGAACAACTGCTGTTGTCTGATTTGCTTCTGCTTGAAATAAATCAGATCTGCCCCCTCTCCCTGTCTACAACTGAAATGTGTTCCAAAAGTTTATACAGCTGTCAAAACACTCGATACTGCAAAGAGCAAAACTTTCCTCTAACAGAAAGCCACACAATTAGTCTTAGGTTGTTTAGTGATTCTACATGTTTATCATGTCCACACAGCATTTTTCAGATGTTTTTAATGAAGTTAATTAGTCCTACTTTCTCATGCTGTGTGTTAAGTCAGAAAGAGCCAGACTACAATACATTTGTAAAGGAATTAGCCCAAGGATTACTGATTCCCTTACAGTATAGAGGATGGGGGTGCTGAGCTTGTAATTGCAGTCACGAATCCAGGCCTTGCATCTAGAAGGATGTTAGCTTTGTAACATCACTGCACAAGGGAGGCTTGTGCTAAGGAAAGCTGTCATAAGATCTTTGTTATTGATTGATTGTAATTATTGCCTGCCATGTTCTTCAGAAGTATTTCAGGGATTTGGTTCCTGAGGTACTTTGAACTAATTACCTAGTAACCTACTGACCTGTTCACAATTAACTTCAGGAGCTGTTATTAACCTGTTTGTCTGGTGGAGTGGCCAAAATGTTACTGATCTACATTTGCTCCCACAGCAAGCAGAAAACACAAAGTAATAGTCAAAGCAACATACTGGTGTGAAGGAGACTCAGGCATCCTAATAGGAATTTCTTGTCTTTTTGCTAATGTTTCAGATGAAGTCAGTCATTACTAAGTAATTACATATGCAGTCCAGTGCCTACTGAAACACATTGTACAGTTCAGTGTTTTACACAGTTAAAGCACTAGGGAAGCCTCGGTGCAGTGAGGTTTCTGTTTATGAAACAATTAACAAGTGTTTTCAGTTATACAGTCAAGCAGCAGTAAGATAGGTGTGGTATTCTAGATACTTCTTCATATGTTCCATTGCTTAAATGTCAATATTTATATTAACTAATGACATTTAATAAACTGTCCATGGCAGTCCTGTTAAGAGCTGATTACATTCTTAAATACTCATCTTGTTAAAGATGCTGTTAAATGTGGGTTTACGTATTTGTGATTTCCACAGGTTTAATAGAACATAGTGTACTGTTTTGATAAACTAATATTTTAAAGGAAGCATATTAATTCACTTAAATTATGGTTAGACTAATATTTGAGACCTTAAAATGCTTAGACAGTGTGTTGTAAAATACAGTATATGCCAAACACTTTAGTTTCTAGTTTTGAATTACTTCTATTTTTTTATTATTGATGAGGAAACATCACTTTGCAGTATCACATAATCATTATAAGGAAAAAAATCCTTACATGAGAACAAGTGTCACAGAGGTACTGAGTAAAGGTTAAATACCACGGTACTTTGCAGATTTGGCCTTATATATTTAAATATTCTTCTAGATGAAACATGAACCTAATGTCACTCATTCTCCAGAAAAGCAGTCATTTGAAGGTTAAAACCTGTCTAGGCCAACCAGAAAAAAAAAAGTCTCCATTAGAACTGGCAATAGTAGAATCATAAAATCATTTAAGTTGGAAAAGACCTTCAGGATCTTTGAGTTCAGCCATTAACCCAGAACTGCCAGGTCCCAGTTTATTGCAGTCACTGATGTGGGCCTTTGATGCAAATAGCTATTTTGTGCTTAGCTCTACTCATACAAGTAATCACGTGATTTCCACAGTAATAGTTGTGCAAGTATTGCTCCATTTCATTAGCAAAGTCAGATGGTCCCAATTCTGGTTCTGTTTGTTGCTCACATAGAGGAAAATTAAATCCTGCCTTGTTGGAAGTTCGTGACAATATTGTCACTCACATTCATCAGAGTCAGAGTTCACATTGGGTGACAATAAGAAAGTCTGTAAGCTGAATAAGTACCAACGTTGGTTGAAGAAATGAAAAGCAAGAATCAACTTTTCCCCTGTAGTAGTCAGTAGTTAAGTTAGTGAATGAATTCAGCTTTTTTGAGTAGCAGCTTTTTTCTTTTACTTTGGTACAAGATATTGTTGTCTTTTTGCTTTTGGATTTTTCAATCCAGGCTCTTCTATGAACCTGTCACTACACCTTGTGGACACACCTTCTGTCTCAAATGTCTGGAGAGATGTCTGGATCACAACCCAAAATGTCCCCTGTGCAAGGAAGGGCTCTCAGAGGTAATGTTTGGATTTTCTCAGCATAAGTTCAAGTGCAAGGCATAGGAACACCTTCACCTTCAGAACCCCTTGATATTTCCCAACTCCACAGAAATATTACATAACTTAGGAAGAATGTGACTTTTTAAACTCTCTTGTGAGTTACCAAGCATGGATAGTTTCTGTTCAAACCTTAGGACCAGGCCTGTACTTAGAAAATCTGTAGATGACTTTACTTACTTTCCAGATTTCTGAAGAAACTGTCTGTAACATAGAGAATAGTTGAAGAAACAAATCTTCAATGGCAGAGCAAGCTTAAGAGATCATAGAACCACAGATATCAGGAAATGGGGGTAACAGGTGGCTCCCATGTGCACAGGCACCATACGCTGTGAAATGCTGGACATTGTCTGTAACTGCTTGTGTGTGTTTTTCCTGCAGTGCTTGGCTATGAGGAAATATTGTAAAACAGTGCTAATGGAGGAGTTAATAGCCAGATATCTTCCAGAGGAACTCACTGAAAGAAGAAAGATTTATGAAGAGGAAATAGCAGAGCTTTCCAAGTATGTAATCCATTTATGTAAAATCCAATCTCTAATTCCACTGCCGTTGGCTGTGAATGGCTCCGGCTGCTGTGGAACAGCAGGCTGAGATGCTGACAAAGGAGCTTCTTTCTCTGTGTCATTTTAGAGAACAGGGTCCAGGTGAAACTGTGCTTGAGTGAGCATAAAATCTGCACACTGGGCTAAACAATAAACAGAAGTAGAAGAAATCCAGAAGGTTGTTTTATAAAGGAAGTATAAAGCAATGTGGTTGCTTTCAGTGGACCTCTGTGAAAGGCACAGAGTGAGACAATAGGTGGAAGCAGTCTGACAGGATGGGGGTTGGAATGTACTGGGTTGGGAAGAATTGGGATTAAGGAAAATTAAGTAAATAAAAGCAATAATGAAGATACAATAATGCTCTCACTAGCAAAACCAGAAAGCATAATGAAAAATTCTTCTACTATTAAGTGGTATATAAATATAATATCTAGTCAATTGAGGGAAAACATTTACTTAATCCATTAAGAATTTTTTTCCAAAGATGTTGTAATTTCTATTTAAAGACATCATAATTTGAAAGACTATGTTACTACGTATTTTATACCTTGTCAGTGGTTTGGTAAAATGTCACATCTGATTTGTCCTTTCTCTCTTACAGCCTAAATAAGAATGTTCCCATATTTGTCTGCACAATGGCTTATCCTACAGTCCCATGTCCTTTGCACATCTTTGAACCATGTTATCGCCTGATGATTCGGAGGTGCATGGAGACTGGCACCAAACAATTTGGGATGTGCATCAGCGACCCTGTAAAGGGGTGAGTGAACAGCGTGCTTGGACCATGGGATGTACCCACTTAGTCTGGAGCCAGTGTCTTTGGAAAGCTGCAGAAAGGTCCATGGCTATATATCTGCAGTAGTTTTCCAGCAGACAAAGTTTCTTCATAATCATGCTGCTTGAAGTCATTGAGAAGACGGAAGTTCCTCTCTTGATCACTTGGATTCTGACTAATATGACTGATTGTTCTCTCAAAACACACATGACTAGTGTGTAGCATATGAAATTGAGCTGCAGACCTCTTGTAATACATGAAAGGAAGTGTATTGTCTACTATTTTCAAATCTGTTGAATGCTTTGGCACAAGAAATCAAGTTGAAATGGCAGTACAGCACATTGGGGGGGTTACTTTTTTATATTATGGGATATGTTTATGTCCTCAGTGTTCTGAATATAGTGGAGGCTGCAGAGGTATAACAGAACCATCATAAAGACTGACTGACCATTTACATTGAGAATTTACAGTCAGTCTTGGGTAATTTGACCTCAGTGTCTGTCTCTGTATTTAGATTTTCTCCCTTCTTTTTATAGTATCTACCTACTGGGTACGTATACACTGTAAGAAGCATAACATACACAAAGTACCCACCTACAGAGTTAAATCTGCTGAAACTGTGGAAACACTTTTTTCTTTATAGATTTCCTAGTCCTTCCATAATTCTAATATTCTGAATTGCACTTGCCCTTCTGTACAAATTGACTGAACATATTAGGGTTATGGAGAAAGTGCTCTTCTGACCTATATAACTTTCAATTTCATAAGATGTTCCCTGTATTCCAAAACATCCAGTTATCATTAATCAGATTAGACAGCCTGAATCTTCCTGATAGTTTTGCAAACAATTGTGGAATAATTTGAACTACAGCAGGTCAGTATTATGAACAATAGAAATGAGCTGACATTGGTAAATACCTTTGTGGTAGGGACTGGCTGTATGGCAGCTCTGTGGAACTAAGGGTGGAGAGAATAAGACTTGTTTACTTGCTTTTGTTCTGATTTCAATAGGTTTGCAGATTATGGCTGCATTCTGGAGATAAGAAATGTTGAATTCTTTGCTGATGGTCGCTCTGTTGTAGACAGCATTGGCAAGAGGAGATTTAAGGTGATCCAGCACAGCCAGCGTGATGGATATAACACAGCAGATATTGAGTACATTGAGGATCAAAAGGTAAATTTAGAAATATTTCATTTAAACTGTATTACTTGTGAAATTCTAAGTGCTTGTTTTCAGTGAGTTCTTCTTTGTAGAAGCTTATAGTAAAACAAATTTGTGGTATTTATTAAGTGCTCATGGTTAAGGTGGGAAACATAATAGTTACCACAAGCATGCACACATACTGCCCATGTACTGAAGACTGTGTTTCCTAGAGGCATTTAGCAGAGGACAAAACTGAGTGAATCCAGGAATGAAATCTTACTGCTCTTCTAGACAGAGTAACTGCTATTTATAAGAGGGTAGAGAGGGAACCTGCCTCCATTTGCATGGAATCCAGTTAGAAAACTCCCATTCAGGTAAGAAGGAGCAGGTTTGAGCCCACAATAATCTTCAAAATTACATTAGTTCTTAAGAGCTTTCGTATGGGAAGATAAAATGTCTACTCTGAGGCTCTACTAATTTTTTTTTTTTAAACGCTTTGCATGGTCTTTTCTTCTGTTGGTTGTATATGATGTTTGTGTAAAGGCTTTTTTATATAGCAATCCAGAAAGTGCATGTTCTGCAAATAGATATCTTTGGTATAGAATACAGGGAAAGAAAGTGAAGAATTTGGGTGGGGGAGGGAGAGCAGAAGGGGGAACACCAAATGAGCTTTCAGCGTTTATCCCAGAACTCTCTCAGTGTGGTTTTTTTTCCTTTTTCTTTCCCTCACCCACCTCAGAAAATCCTAAAAATGCTGTGTCTTCCCCAACATAGAGACTGAACAAACAGTAACCTTCCCCCTTTTGTTACTCATTTCAGGTGCAAGGACAAGAATATGCTGCATTACTTGTTCTCCATGATTCTGTCTATGATCAGGCATATATGTGGTTTAACTCCCTCAAGCAAGCACTCAAAAGTCGAATTCTCAGTCATTTTGGTCCAATGCCAGCTAAGGATCCTGACCCACAGGTATCCAGAATCAGTGGCTTATGTAACTTTTAGAGACAGAAATAGCAGGGATATCCGATAAGCTGGCAGGCATTGCCTTTTAAGATGAAAATATGAATACTCTGCATTTACCCCACATAAGCTGAGTCTGAGTTCTATTGCCATACACCAGCAGTAGCACAGTTGTGAACAAAAGCTCATATTTAATGTTGATAACTTTCTAAGGCTACTTATCTGACTATATTAATCCCAGGAAATGGAAATGCCTATTCTACCTTCTCAATTAAATGATGAAGTGTAAATAGGCAAGAGAAAACCTGGTTCTCTTCTTAAAGGTCTGCAAATGGTGGGGGTCTTAAAATAACAGAATGGAACAACAAAAGCTAAATATGAAGAACTGTTATAAAGTATGGAGAAGGGAGGCAGGAATCCCAAAGAGCTGGGTCAGTGATAACATGGGGAAAAAAAATACATTTAAAAAATCTAGAAAGTCCAGCCTATAAATCGTTGCTAGAAGTAGAAATGCCTTCAACATTCTATTTTTAGGAAAGGTGAAATTTGTTTGTAATCTGTTTCGGGGAACCTGTAAGCACAGCCATTAGGTTGGTGATGAAATGACCTCGTTGCTAGATTGCTATCAAAAACTGTGTTTTCAAAGTTAGATCTTCAAAACCAGGACCTTGCCATCTGTATGAATCCTGACTTCTATTTTTCTTTTTCCCCTGGCTGTAGGCTAACCCTAATGGGCCAGCCTGGTGCTGGTGGGTCCTGGCTGTCCTTCCACTTGAGAACAGAGCTCAGCTCCCGTTCCTTGCCATGAAATCCCTCAAAGACCGCTTGAATGGCATCAGACGTGTCCTTACGTTCATGTCTCGTACAAGATCACGGTGATGGTGAGGAGGAGAGCTGTGAAGTCTCCCACAGTCCTTGACTGTAGACTGTCTCTTGTAACTTCATATAACTGCAATAATGTCTTACAGATTTGAGTGTCAGGATGTTTCAAGCCTGAAGTTCAAAGAGAATGAGTTATAAAGAGCAGGGGATGTTTATGGATACTTCAATAGTTTCCATTTGGAAGTCTGAGACAATTATTCAATCACTGCACTGCTAAACTAATAACAAATGTGATAGAACAAAAAGTGATCTTGTTTGCCATAAACCTTTTAAAAATCTTAAGGGTTTTTTTTTTAATTTATTTTATTTTTATTTTTTAGTGGATAAAGGATTAACTGTGCAGTTTAATGTGAAGCAGAAATAATAATGTTAATGCATTATTTCAGTGAACTGCAAAGTCTTTTATTCAAATGGTTCAGGTTTTATATAGCATTGTGTAAAATAATGTTCACAACTTCTGTTTGATAATTTATTTTTGCACTATGATTTTTTGTTTCAAAATGTATATTATTTATGTGTTCATTCGCTAAAGGAAAGTGAGCTGCTCTATTTATTTATAGTGTTTTTACCCTGTATTTATGACTGGGGGCAAAAATGATGATTCTTGCAGTGCACAAGCAACTGCTTTGATAATTTTTCAGTTATTTCTGTTCAAATACTTTGAATGTTTTTCTACTCATCCTCAGTTCTACTGTAGCTTAAGAAGGATTTTTTCCCCCGAAACATCCTGCCTTGAAGTCTTTGAATACACAGATTATGTTTGAGATAATTCAAGCACAGTTGTTGGAGGTTGATCCTATGCTTGTGACTAGGTTTGTGATGCAACCAAACAGTCAAGCACGTGCTTAACCTTGAGCATGAGTGTTTAAATGCTTGGATAAGTTTGTGTTGATCAGGTGATGTCAGTGGGAATTGACCATAGTGGTGACAGAAGGATCTATTCCCTAATTTTTCACAGAACGGAGGATAACTTGAAGTTGAATTTGTATCTGAACTCTTTCTTGCAAAAATGGACAATGGCTACAAAGTGCGAAGAAAGAGCCACAATATATGAAAAGTGGCTTATCCTAGAGAAAACTGGAAGTACTGGTGTCATTTCATTGTAGGTTAATACACAGACTTTTTTTTTTTTAATCAACTCTTGTTGCTGTTAAGATGAGTTTTATTTCTTTTAATTGTTTGGTGGGGTTTGGCTTTGGAGTGTGTGTATGGGACGGGGAGGGGGGAGTTATTTTGACCTGTAGGACTCAGAGGGCAGTTTGTGTCACATAAGAAGGAATATGTTGTAATAAATGCTATTTATTTCACCCCAATCTTCAGGTTTCTGTTAGCTTCAAATCTCTACCCAGCCGTTGCATTTCTCTTAAGAGACTGGGTAGTGTTGCTAATAATAGTTAACTCCCAAGGAAAACAAGTGAATTTTAGCATGATTACTGCTAGCTATAAAGCAGGTAAAAATAGGGCAGAAATGAGAACAGGAAGTATCTTGGTTTTGATTTTTTTTTTTTTTAAATCAACGGTTCCTATACTTGTTTTGCTGCTTTTATTGCTTACAGTGTACCACTTTCTGGGACTGCTTGTACCTCCATCTGACTTGGGCTTTCACTGATTTCAATGCGAGCAAAACTGGGCCTTTTATTCTAAGCTACTGTTTTCCTTTTCAGTGGCAAAAGCTAGAATGAAGTGAGAATGTTATGGAATGCTACACATTTCTTTGGGGTTTTTTTTACCCAGGATAGTACTCTGCCATTTCATACATTCTTTATGAAAAAATGCAGTAGAATTTAATGTCATTTTTCTGGGTGTTTTTCCATCTCATCAGAAATATTTATTAGTTAAAAGTAGTTTCCATACTGTTACGTTTTCATAAAACTACCTTCGTTCCCCTTTTTGTTAAATTCCATAGAACATTTCCATAAGGGTACCAAAGCAACGAATGGAAGACAAACATGTTTGACCTTTGTGATAAACATGGAATGTGTATCCTGTTTGCATTGAGCTACTCTAGAAATACTACAGCTTCCTTCCTCACTGCTAGATTCCTGCATTTCTTCCATAAGGGTACTTGACATGCTGTAAACAATCTATAAAAATACCTTCATGTTCTGAACAGTATCAAGTATACAGTGGCTGACACCTGCTATGGCATTTGTCTTCATAAATCAATAATGAAGTGATTTCCACTTGTTTGGAAGTGAAGCTGCATTCAATGCAATTCTTCCACAAACCATTATGTATTATTGCATAACGTAAGGGCCTCATAGTGCTCCCATAGGAAAAAAAGCTGTCACTTTGTTACTCTTATCTGTGAGAAAAGGACCTTAAATATTTAATTTAAACTGTTTTCTCACTGATGTCATTATTGTTTTTCCCTGCATGCTATGTATTCTACATACTCATTCTGCCAATTTTGTTGTTTTAGAAACTGTCATGGAAAGAATCCTTGATTTTAAAAGTGAATATTATCTTTTCTGTTAGCCTTGACTGAAGCTGCCAGAATTTCCTAAGCAGAGACTCTCGTACATGCCCTGCATCATGAACACCCAGTGCATTTGCTGCCACCTGGAAACACTGGACCTACTGCATGTAATGCAAACAGGTGATCTGCACGTGCACAACAAATCAAACACATCAAAAAGTTCATCTCTACACGTACAGTAGCATTCTGTACAGAGCATAGCATGCTCTATGGCCACACATCCTAGATTAATGGCTGTAGTCTACAAATTCCATCAGAAGAAAAAAACAATATCGAGAAAGAAATTTGTTAGAGAACACAAACCTGTCCAGAAAAAGCTGGACAAGGGACAGCCCTAGCCTGCAATAAGTTGAGATGGTAAAGTTTCAGTAATGACATTTAAAAACCAAAAAATCTTCTAGTTATGCCACATCATTGCTGACTATTTTTCAGTTGTGTTAATGAGTACAAGGATGTAAATGCAACATTTATCACAGGCATGAATAAACAGCTGAGCAGATCTAAAAATACCTTCGCTTCAATTATAGAAACAGCATTGATCAGATAAAGTATTAATTGGGGGAGTATTTTATTTAAGCTCTTTGCATTTTTTCTAGACACCAAACCCAGTTCCATAACCAGTCTTGCTCATCTGTTAAAAACAAAAAAAAAATCATGACTCAAACTTGTATTTCCTGTGTGATCAGAAGTATTGATTAATTGTTCTTGTGGGGGCATAAGTAATGCATAGGCTGCTTAGAAAGTAGTTCAGTAGTTTTAATAATGAAATGATAAAATGGTGTGATAGGCCATTATGCTAAGTCTTAAGTGATGTTCTGGTGTTAGATGTGAAAGTTTCTCTTATTTTTTTTTCTTTAAGTGCTGATATCTTCCATTACCTTATAGCAATAAGAGATACTGAATGGCTGATCTATTGCTCAGCCTGTCCTTCTGTCCTGTATGACTGCTTACTGACAGAACACCTCAACCATGGATTTCTTAATCCAAAGATTGTTTTAGTCTAAAAAAAAAAAAATGTGGATTTGGTCTGTCTTAATCTGTGCTGTAGAGAAAGAGCTTCATAGAATTGAGTTCTGTTTTAGATGGTCTTTTCACAGAATTGTAGAATCCCAGGTTGGAAGGGACCTCAAGGATCAGCTGATCCAAATTTTCTTGGCAAAAGCATAGTCTAGACAAGATGGCCCAGCACCCTGTCCAGCCAAATCTTACAAGTGTCCAGTGTTGGGGAATCCAACACTTCCCTGGGGAGATTATTCCAATGACTGATTGTTCTCATTGTGAAAAATTTTCCTTTTAATGATTTCTACTTGGTGCTGAACTTCTACTGATGTTTAAATCAATGACAGACAGGAGTTGTATTTAAATGCAATGCTTAGGAATGGAGAACATGTTCACAAACTCTTATTTAAAAAACAAAGTGTAAATTAACTACAGGGTTTTTGTGCATAAAAACCCCATGGACCTATATGCACTTAGGGTAGTGCTTCCCATTTCCTCCAAGTCCTACATCAGATGAACTCAATCCCTCTTTTCCACCCCTGCTTGGTTCTCATTTAATTTGTTGGCTTCACAACAGAAATTGTAACTAGTGCAGCACATAGTTTAGGATCTGGGGTTTATTCCAAAGCTCAGTAAATCACTGAAAGTCTTACAGCTACAGAAAAATGGTAGTTTGAGCAAAGTCACTCTCTTGAAACACTTTGCTAAATAAATATTGTCTGAAAGAAGAAAGAAACTAATCTGCTTAGACAGGATTAAAATGGTGGATAATAAAAACCTGAACTATTACATTGACTTACTCATCCAGGTATCATGTGAAGTGCTTACTAATGTTGGAGTTTCATAAGGTCTAAAGTAACCCTCACATAGAAGTGCCTGTATTCTGTTATTGCCATTCTTGAGCTTTTTAATAGTCATAGCCATATATTTTATAAATATGAAACATATGCACCTTTTAATCTTTACATTCAATTTGCAGAACAAAGGTTTACAGAGCAGAAGTGTAGCAAAAACAATGTAATAGTTTCTATAATTCCCTGATGAGGAACGGGAGAAGTACAAAAATGTGGAGCAAAAGACTATCTGTGTAAGATGTCTTAATTTGGAACCATATACTTGTCCAATTTAATTCCATCAAGCTATGTGGTTACAAGAGTGCCAGAAATATATCTATCAAGCCATTTTAAATAAAAAGTTTTGTGGACTTGTATAATCCATTTGTTTGTAAAACATCCTTTTGTGCACTGTAATGAACTTGAAATGTAACTTAAGTTATACTCTCATATCACTGGACAGAGTACTGTTCAGCTACCTCTACATAAGGTTGAAGTAATTTGTTTTTTCCAGATTTGTTTGCATTGTCATATAAAATATATTTTAAAAAAATCATAGTCCAAAGAACCTGTATGTGTTTGTAGATGTACTTATAACTATGTTGTACCAATGAAGTCTGTGTGGAGAGTTGTTTCCTAATTAAAATTTTTGTGTTCTTTACTCTTTGGCTTCCATAACAAAGAACTACAGAGATGAACAAATATTACACTGGAGCTACTTTTTGTAGGTATTTTAGACAAAGGAAAAAAGAACAGCTGGATCCTGCAGTCACACAACAACACTTGAAGCGAAGAAGCCAAACCATAGAAATTAAGTTGTTCAAACCTCAGAATTTGTAAAAAAAAGTACAGCAAGTGCTTTTTCTTTTTTTCCTTCCCTTGTTGCTGTAGTAAAGTAAGAATAATGGGAGCTGAAGAGGGCCTGGCTTACAGTACTACCCTGCACTTCTCTGGACTTTGCTTCCTCTTCTTCCCTACTTTACATTTGCTTTACAGTCTGCTGTGATTTAAAACTATGACCAGGATACCTTCTCATTTACACTCTCGGGCAAGAATGCATCCTGGCCACACTTAACCTGTATCTATGTGGTGATGAGAAGATTGTTTTTAGTGAAGAAGAAGTTCCATAAGCTTATCAAAGCCATTAACTTCACAGAGAAAGCTCGAGAATAGTTTTATTCATAAACTTAAGAGTTTATTCTACTAAAAAAATGAAATCTGCAAAGTGTTTTGCAAGTCACATATGTATGGGCTGCTTCTTTTGCCTTGTCATTTAAGCAAGATGTAGCCTGCTTGTGACTTGCTGCCTAAGCCCCAGCTGCTGCTGGGGTCAGAGGTTGGCTTGCTGGTCTCTCGATGTAAGCTTATTCAGGCCCTGCATTTATTTTAGAATCCAGGGCACAAGCTAAGGCTGTATATGGTGGGCCAACAGCTCATTATGTCAAGGCTGCTATTTTCTACAACAAAATATATTTGCTTCTGAGTAGAGGAAGTGCTTTGGTTAAAGTGCTTTTTCACTGGGAAATAGTAAATAGTCAAAACTGAAGCTTTGCTAGGGAAAATGTTGATTTAAACTATTGTTTTTAAGTCATAACTTTAGTTTTGAAACCTTTAAGATCAGTTATAAAAATGTGGGGTTTAGATGCAGTATAAAACAGAATTTAAACCAAATATAGGATAGCAAAATATTTCCCAACTATTTGCTCACTGTGTTCTTGTTTTATAAGTGTACCTACACAGATTGATTCAAATGATATTTGAAATATGCTAAAGTCATCTACACTTACATAATGCTTTATATTAAAATTATCATTAGCAATTTTGGATGATCTCTATCATATGAAGCACTTCAAGAAAAACTTCCAGTCAGCCTTTGCTTCCCAGTTCCCCGAGACAAGACCCTGTGCTGACTTCACTGTGGGTGTGAGGCTGAGGGAAGGGTGTGCCACAGGATAGCTCCTGGCTGTGACCTGCCACAGCTTTTGAAATGTCAGTCAGCTGTAATATGTTTTTTATTCTGTGAATGAGATGCCACAAAAATCCCGGAACATCTCTTAGCATGCTGTGGTTCTCTGTATGACTGGGTGAAAGGTGTGGCAACAGTTTTTAGCTTCAAAAGGTGTGCTGACTCCTCAGTTTCAACAGTTCTTCAGCTCTGCTGTAGGAGTTATGGCTTGCCTGGTCTTTGCTCCATACTACTCACAACCAAACCCAAGGTAAGGAATGCCATCAATCAGCCTCTTGGCCACACATATAGATTAAGGAAGACTAGAAACTGCATTACTAAACTATTACAGGGCTGGGACTGGTTTTTTTAGAAGTCTTTCTGATTTTCAAACAGGTTTTCATCAGCAGTCACTAATACTAAGTTCTCTAAAACATACACAGTAGAAGAACTGGTTAAGTCGTGCCTACCAGTGAACAGCAATGTCATTGGGCTGCCTTTACCTGTAATGTTATGTTTTTAATTACCCAGATAAATTGTATATTGATACCAAAAATTAATATACAGAGGCTACCTGAAAAACACAGCACTGATGTAAAGAGCAGGCTTTGCTATGAAGGCCAGCCACTTACTGAATAGTTTACATCTTAGGATAGGATGGCTTTCAAGTTGTTAAAGCCCAAAAATCACTGGCTGGACAAATCCATATAATGAAAGTCTGCACATGCTGTCAATACCAGTTTTATGCCAGTGTAACATCTTTTGTTTCAGTAGATCTGCTCTTGATTTATAATTCCATATAAATGAAAGGAGAATTAAGCTATTTATGTAAGTCACTTTATATAACTGACTTATGCTGTATTATGCGATGGAAAACCAAGCACATGTCTTTTTTGTGTTTTCTATGAGCTACAGAAAGATTTTGTAAAAGTAGTGCTAGTGATAAATAGTTTTCTCTATTTGACATATTAGAAATTCATTCTCATCCACATGGATGTTTATCATGAGTAGAATACAGGGTAACAGATGACACAATAATGTGGAAGGATTTTAGTAAGTCTGCAGACACTCCAGAAAATGTGAATGCTGCACATCACAATTTAGACTGCAAATCAGTTCAACAAAGCAATTGTTATTCAGGTTCTTCCTTGTATGAGTCAATGATTTGTACTGTGACTATTAGTACTGAATGTACCATCTAAAATTCATTTTGAAAGATTACTGAAGCATTAATGATTTTAAAATGGGTTCTACAAGTATTTTTTTTTATCAGTGAGAATCCCAAACACTATCAAGGCTAAAGAGTATACACAAGGATTTTCAACATTACAGAATTAGGGTGTTTTTTTTTCACGTGCTTTTACATTGTTTTTTACTTCCTAGTGAACGATGACTATATAATATTTAGGAAATCAGGGTCAGTAGAGTAAATGTTTCTGTAGCAATGTGGCAGACACACCTTTCATAACTCATAAAGTCACTACTGGAAAGGCACAACTGGGTCACAGAAGTGCATGGTGGGATGCTGCTTTCCAGTTATGCAACCAGGGTAACTAAAGGTTAGAGCAAGCACTTGAATAACGAGCTTTTTGCCAGAAAGAGTCGAACAGAAAAACACAGTGTTTTTAAATGCTGGCTTCTGAGCAGCAGCCGCCTAACGTGTCTAGTTGGGAGTCATCAAACCGAAATAGAACCGGATGCGTCAGAACTTTGAAGAATGGCAGTTCAACATCCCAAAAGAAAAATACATCTGCTCGTATTCCAAAAGCAGATCCTACCGGTTCTCTCATTCCCACAGATGATACTAGAGACATTTGCAGTGTGCTGCTCCGCTTTTTCTCCTGGCTCACTGCAACTGACTTTATCACTCATCTCATCTTTTTACTTTCCCCATCATCCAGCAACATCTTAAACTTTAAGGAATTCCAGTTTGCCTCTGTTCTCTTTCCTCCTTCTATTCATATGTTGCTGGATTACTTATAATAACCATAATTATTGCAGAATTCTTACCTAACTTCTGACAGAGGAAAGAAGAGAGAAAGGAATCACTATAATGATTTTCCAAGGTTTGGAGGGCTTGGACATAGCCCAAGGGCACAAAGTATGACATAACTAACAACTAACTCCCATCAGTTTTGGGGATATTAGTTACAAAAACTGAAGGCTATGGCAAAGAGACTAAATAAAACGGTGTTCTTTTAATTACAATTACATCTCCTGTTACAGCTGCACACCAGATAAATATATTAATCAAAATGACCTCATTTTAGGCATGCGTAGCAGTGTGTTATGTAACCATGTTAAGTATGCTATTTTATTTTCCTCTCGCCAAGGAGAAATGGTGTTTGTCTTACAAGAGTTCCAAATAAGTCTGGTTTTAAAGTGATGGGGAAAAGAACAGGAGGGAGAGACGAAAGTGAGAGCACTAATAAGCAAAATGACTCATTCCCCAAGTGCAGAGGTGACGTTACACTCTGCTTCTGTCTCAGGGGCTCTATAGGAAACTAATGTTGTCACCAGCAGTCTCAGCATTCCTAACGTGCCCAGTATTTCTCAGGATGGGAAAAACAGATGTGTGACAAAGATGGAAAGTACGTCTTTTCAGATCTCATTGGTTCATAGCATTCTTGGTTTATTTTCAAAGCTGTTTGTGAACGCTGCTTCCATAAACAAGGAGTTTGCAGAATTCCTGTCACTCTTTTTGTTGCTCACTTCTTTGGTGAAAAGTGGCATTCAATTAATTCTTTTCTAGTGCTACTAATGATGCTTTAAACAAGCTCAAAAGCACCCTTAAAAGTAGAATACATCCCCCCACTCACACATAACAAGGCTGAGGCTCATCTAGATTTATACTGCACTACAGAAAAAAGGACCAAGAGGCGTACATTTTTGCAATATAAGATCACTCAGCCAGAGAACTCTGATAAGTGCTGAAAATGTGAAAAACAAATGGCAGGGTATGCATTTCCCATTTGCTCAATACACACACATAAAAGAAACACTGTGTAGGCTTCTCTGCAGCATACCAGTGCGTCCAAAACTCAAAGGTTAGTTACATAAATGATAAGGCGTGGGCTTAAATGCTTCATTCAGCTTGTTAATTACTTGCTTTGTGGCCTGAGCCAATGTTCTGAAGCAGGTTCATCCAATATTGTGTTGCTTCCTCTGAATTTTCATTTATTGTATTAAGCTGAAGTGCTGGGAACAATTTGTTGCAATACCTAGGAAGAGTCTATTTTCTTTTCAAGCAATTCACAGAACAATCTTACTCAGACTAATCCACAGATGCACTTTAAATGTCCTTGCTATTTCAGAAAATTGTGAGATTTAATTCTTAGAGCATTCTCTTTAAACAAGGGAACTGCTGGCTGCATAAATATGCATGTGTTATTGGAGTATGTTTTGAGGGTTCCTTTTTTTGTGTGCTTTTTAATCTACACAATCCAATGTGGGGAAATGAATGGCAGTGTGTTAGAAAACTCTCAAAATACTTGGTATGTCTCCAGCAGAATACAAGTAGATTTACTTTTTAGTAGCAGATGGAAATATTTCCACCTTCAATTCACTTAACTGGGACACCTCATTGATGAGGCTCTTTAATGCCATGGCTATGAACGAGGCCTCATTGACCAGCACATCCCAAGCCAGACAGACCAACCAACCATCTCCTTCATGAGATGTACAGGGAGAAACTGGAGGCTTAGAATTCCTTACCT